TTTTGTTATTAAACTAATATTTTGCAAAAGCTTAAATCTACGAAAAACCTTGCGATTCAGCGTATTACTTGGTTTCACCTTGGTTTGGCTGGCGAGAACCATTCAAAAGCTCAACCTCTACGTGATGAAAGAGAACCAAGCAGGAAAGGTGAATCGTCATCGAAATTTTGCTCAACTCGAATTTTGAAATAATTCGTGATTACAGTTTTCCATCGAGATCATTGAGAATGTTCGCACAATCCAGCTGCTTACGCGAGAACGTCACTTCTACGAAAAATACGAGGAAGCCTCAAAAAAGCAAAAGAGAAATGAAATGACAAAAGGCTATTATGAAGGTGGGAAAAATAAGGTGCATTCGAGGAGCTCGATGTTGAAAAAGATTTCTGTTTAGCTGCAAGCTTCTCTCTTACCCAGACATTTGTCTATTTCTCATTGGCGGGTGCTTATGCTGTTGGCATTCCACTAATCACTCGTTGGGATTACGATGTTCAAGCAGTCTACAGGTACCTTAGAAATTTTGTTTCAAGTTCGAGATGCAATTTTTGATATCCCAGAGCTGTGTTCTCTGTGCTTCTGTCGTGTCTGGCCATGATGAACTGCTCCACTTTCTTCCCTGAGTTCACCAAAGCTCGTACAGCTGCAGGAATGTTATTCAATATGATCGATAGAAAATCTAAAACTGGTGATATTAACAAGGGTATCGTGCAGGTAAGCGAAGACTGCTGGTACAAATCTTATCTATGATACTGATGGATTTCAGGAGCTCAGAGGAAACATATTCTTCGAAGGCGTGCACTTTTCCTACCCTCAAAGGCCTCATCAACCTATAATGCGTGGACTTCAGTTTACCGTACAGAAAGGCCAGACCGTAGCCATAGTGGGTCCATCTGGATCGGGAAAAAGTACAGTAATATCGCTCTTAGAGCGATTCTACGACGCAAGTGCTGGAACGATTGTGAGTTGCTCTGGATGAGTTGACTCAGTAATTTGCGGAGTTTTTGAATTTTTCGCTTTAGCGTTTTGACGGACAAGACATTCGAAAAATGTGCCTCCG